TGACAGAAACCCTCTTGGTTCTCTGTAAGCTACTATCAACAGAAGTGCTCAAGATCTTCTCTGATTAGTTCTCTGCCAAAGACACCAGAAGGTCTGACACTTGGAAGAAATCCACAAAACCGGGAAGTCAACTAAAAGATTCCCTCAACGGCTAGGAGTATGAAACGGAAAAGCTACAGTGCTCGCATTAAATGCTCATTTAATGCTCCCCATGCTCCGTGGAGTAATTGCAGATGATTGGCCGCAATGTCATGATTACTTTATCCCAAAATAGTAACCCGCCAACTTTATCGGGTCCTACTGGTCAAGTCAACTGCTCGCGCATTAAATGCAGTTGTCCTCCTACTCCTCCAACGGGAAGACAACCTCAGTATAAAAGATACACTACGAAGAACAACCGGATAACTTTGCCAAGACAACTTTTGCTTACCATTGCTACAAACAAGATATTCAAACTCTGAAAAGCAAAAAGCCTCCTTGAGATTCAAACTCATTATCTTCTACAAGAGAAGGCAGAAGTTGGAAAAATACTTTTTCCAACTCAAGCAAAGTTCCAAGTGTTCTTCAACTCTTCAAGCTCATCTCATACAAATCTTTTGTAACGAAGCTAGTTGGAGGAACCCCTGTTTCAACAGAAACTCTTCTTGCTACAAGAAGGACGTCCAAGTAACTGGAGTAGTGAAGTGGTGATACTTCCAGGAAGCTCAGTGAAAGGACCAGTCTTAAAGGAAGCCAGGCAGTGCATCCCAGGAGACATCTAGACTTGAAGAAGACGTGGAGAGCTTCTTAAGTACTAGGACTAAGGCTTTGTAAACGGCAGTTTTTACAGCTTAGTGGAACAGTGGACTAGAGGAACAAGTTGTTCCTTGAACCACTATAAAAATCCCTGGTGTCGTTTACTTACTGCTTTAATATCCGCACTTAGATAGAACTGTCTAACTCCTTGGACTTGGTATCTGTGTTCAACAGAACTTGTTCTACGAGTTAACAGAAGGCGTACTGCCTTTGCTTCTCTGAGGCTAACAGAACTCCCTACCAGAACCCCATCCGCTGCCAGTCTGTTCTGTCAACAGAACAGGCTATTCTGTAAATCTGGTACTTAGTTTAAAAGGCTAAAAACCAATACAGTCTATTCACCCCCCCCCCCCTCTAGACTGTATCCAGTACAACCGGGACCAACATTCTTTATCCACTTGATTGCACTTAATAGTGCCGACATTTGTCTTGAAAGTCCAAGCTAATGCCGTACCAAATCCCACACCTGACCTGTAAATGAGCATTCAAAATATAGGTGTGACACCGTTTCCGGGCCACCCTTACAAAAAGGACAAACATCGGTTACATCCAAAAACCCCAATCTATCTTACGTGGCTAACCTTCCCCGAAAGGCTAACCTAGTAATGAATGAGAATTTGGGGGGAATATAGTTCTTCCAAATCAAGGACATCCACGGGTGGATGCTGCCTTTGGTTCTTAGTAAATCATACACTTTTGAGGAGGAAAGTTTCCCATTTTGGGAGAACTTTTCAAGGCATTCCATGGCCGAGTCTAAAGAAGGGAACTTTGATACAATCAAGTCCCGAGCATTTCCAATGGCCTTCATAAGTCTAGAATCCTTTTGGTGTGGAACAAAGGTCCACACCTCCCTACCTTGGAGGTAAACACCATGTACCCACTTTACCCACAAAGAGCCTTGTTTAGAATGGATATTCCATAGGGTACGGGATAGTAAGGCATTATTTCACACCTTGGTATCCCTTAACCCCAAACCCCCCTCTTTTTTGGGTAGACACACATCACACCATGCAACCGTAGCCTGTTTACAACCCCAAAGGAAAAGTCTACAAAGAGAAGTTATCCTATCAAGAATGATCCTCGACATAGGGAAGATGCCAAGCCAAAAGGCTTGAACACAGGATACATAGTTTAATATACTATCGTACTACGAAATATTTCCTCTGTCTCATTTAAATCTTTAGTTACTATATCCTATTTAAATCTTTAGTTAACTTAGGATGCTTTTATTTGGATTGAATTTTTGATCAAGTCTGATCTGGTCTGGTCTCAATTGGTCTTGTTTGGTAAATTGCTGATCTCTGTGTATTTTATAACTATCCATGTCTGGTCTGGTGTGGACTGAACATAGTTCAAGTAAAAACATCCTTAGTACAACTTCACTAACTTGTAAAGTAATTTATGAATATATCACTACAAAAAAATTACGGGTTTTTTGGCACGGACTTACCGATTTTTCGTGCCAAATAGCTCATGCCAAAGTGTTTTTTGGCACGGATTTGGCATTTCCCTGCCGAAATCCCTGCCAAATCCCTGTCAATCCGGTGAATTTTTTGTAGTGTATAAATTTTAATTATTACACTGATTTACAATTCATCGGGGATGGATTTGCTTTATGGTCTGCCAAATATAATTAGCAAAAATTTTAAGCTCCAAGTGAGAGAGGGAGAGAGATAGAGAGATAGTAGATTATTACTCGTACAATATATTATCACAATAACTTCTTTTTAGAAAAAACAGCTTATATTAAAATCATAGAATCCAACCAAACAACAACAAGACCAGACACAGTCGACAAGCAAGAAAGATCAGAAACATTATTCAATCATACGCCCTGGACCAGACTCAGAAACTATCACCCACTCCGGAGCAATATAATAGGATTTGCCATTATGGCAATTGTAAGCTAATCATGATCAACGATGTATTCTCTCATTTATCCTATGCTATACTTGCCACGATCCAAAAGTAAAAAAACATTATTGTTGACCTAATACTAAAGACATCAACAAAAAATAAAGCAGGGTAACCAAACATAGCAGTAATAGCACGAGAACAAGACCATAAAAAAATTAAAAAAAAAATGGTAAATACTCCAAACTTTTTCCTGCCATTTTTCTTGATCACTCCATGGTGGCGGTTCACAGTGAGGTCTTCATTCTCCTCTTCTAGGACCACTCCTTGATAGACATGTATTAAATTCTTCATTACTGTCATGGATGACTGTTGCGTTCGTTCCAGAACTCAGAGAAAACTCAAGTGCTTGTTCTTGCTAAAATCCCACAAAACTAAAAACAATATCATGCCACACGAAGAAATCGACGAATAAGCAAACACTACGCTGCTAGGCGAGTGACATCCGTTAAGAAGCTATCGATGAAGGCGACACCCTGATCGCAAGAAATTCTACATGAAAGTAGAGAGACGGCTGCTAGTGTTTTTTAATGCTATACGACACGAGTATATTATCACAATAACATAATATTAAGCTTTGCAATATTATATATTATATTGAATATTTTCTCTGTCCAAATTAATTGATAACTCAGAGTTTGTATGTTTGACTAATGTTAAAGCCAGTGGAGGATCCAGAAAGTCAGAGCAACGGGGTTTCTACCCTTTTATATCTCTAATCTCTAATTAATACAAGTATAAAACTAATAAAAAATTGATCCAATTCTTCATTTACTAATGGCGAATCATTTGAATTAACACCTGAACTACTCCCGATACTCTAGGTTTCTTTAAATTTGGGTACAACATCAAAATATCTTTTCATCCTAAATCGTATAAATTGAATATAACATTTATAAATACATGAATTTATTAATTTAATCTAACATTAAAAAAAGATATGCAAAGAAAAGCAGTAGAGAAAAAAAACCTGGGCAACTGATGTGCTTATATTTTACACACTTTTTAGGCTTAGTTTGTTGATTATTTTAGTTATTAAATGATGGATAAGTGTACCCGGGGGTTATCTATCCGAGGGGTTATTACGGGGAATAACTAGAGAGAAGTCAGAGCAAGTAAGAGAGAGAAAGTGTAGTGAATATGTAAGTTAAGGCTTTTTAGTGTGGTTTACAACGGGGAAATGGGGTGCTATTTATAGTAGCAATAAATGCCAGACAGGGACACGTGTCAAGCATCCATTGGCCGAGGGGTCACCTCAACTGGTTGGCGCTGGCAATCGCATGTGGCCGCATTCAATGCGGCTGTTGGATGTGACGTCGTACTTGGTACGGTGATCCATGCGCATGTGGAACGGATATTATATATGTCGGAAAAGGTGCCCTCGGCTGTAGATGATTAGCCGAGGGCTCCGAGTATCGGGGACCTCCTTAGTGCCGAGGGCTCTAGGTGCCGAGGGCTACTGATTTTCGCCGTTTTCTCCTAGTAACTTTGTTTTCCTGATTTGACCATCCTGTGAGAATTGGAGCCTCCGGCCAGGGGGCCGAAGGCACCCCTAGTGCGCCACGTGGGTTGCTTAGTACTTGGGGCGCCGTGATTTGGGCCTGCTGTGCTTCCTGGGCCTATTGGGCCTCCATTAGAATAGTAGGAGTCTATGGGCCGGGGGTTAATGGGCCATATACTGCATCATTAAATTTGTACTTTTGCACATATTTTTATTATTTGTCGTTAATTTGTTTTAGTGCAGTCATATGTGTGTATTTTGTATTTTCTGGTACATTTGATGTTATTTGGATACATTTAGCGTGAAGAAATGAAGAAAATAAAAGTTCAAGTTGGAGGATAACAAAAGTGAAATTTAATTCAAAGAAAATAAGAAGTAAATTGGAGAAAAGTAGCAAAAATTAAGAAAGGTGGAGATGGGATTCGAGCTCTAGTCATTTTGGACAAAGAAGACATACTGAGCCAATGAGCTAAATGAACTAAGTTCAAGTTTTTGTTGGAAATTCGTATACATTGTTCAAGCCCGCCACTGAAAAGAGTAATAAAAGAAGCAGGTCAAGTTTTGAACTCGCAACTTCACATTTGGAATAAGCACCCATCACCGCTGCACTACACTATTCTTTTGGTTTTAAGGTCATTTTTTTGTAAATATACATTGAATAATTAATTTTATATAATATATACGGAATATATAATATATATAGGTATTTTTTTCGAGGTGCACGAATCCTGGGACCCCGTGGGACCCTTAGTGGGTCCGCCTCTCGTTAAAGCTAATCCCTCTTGTAGTTAGTTAATCAATTATAATAATTTAATTTACATATTCATTTCTAATTATTTAATTTACAAAATCTAAATTAGACTATAATAAAAAGATTGATATAAGTTAACAAAATCAAATTATTTTGATCAAGAATAGTAGATTTTATTTTACAAATTATGGAAGAAAGTCTAAATGTCTAATACTTGCATTTCTAATGACAATAAATTGGAAACAATTAGCAACACTTGATAACCCGAGCAGGAGAAACAACATGAATAGCAGCCGACTTGGAGCTGCAAGTCCCCATGGCGCTAGTCCTCGTGAAAGAAACAATCGAAACCAAAGCCGATTTCATCGCCCTCACAACCACTTTCCTCAGCTTCTCCGACCTTGTTTTCGCCGAGGAAGGTTCCAGCTTGTAGCTTTGAAGGAAAACCAATCGCCGCCTCGCCCTTTCTCGCCTATAGCTCAAAGAGCTCGACACCACGGCGGTGCTACTGCGGCGGCTCCTCAGCTGATTCTTCGAAAAAGTTCTCCAGCCGCCGCCGCCGGGCTCTTCCTCGGGCCTAATTTGGATTTGATCAAACGGCTCGTAGCAATCGGCTCTTCTGCTAAAACGCAATGTGCTGCTTTTTAGTAGAGACTCCATTATCTGTATGATTCTGCCCCAGCTTAACCTTTGCTTGATAGTGGGTGTCTCTCTCTGCGAATCTGCGATCCATGGATTTCAGATATATACAGAGAGGCCTGGGCCGGGGCTGGAGTAATAATAACCAAGAATGAAGTGGCTCAGAAAGTTCTTAAATTTAAACTTGGTATAAGTTTGACTATGGTGAAGTTTTGGTTGACTTTCTTCTCACACGGCGGGCGGTCATGACTGCGGGAGAAACTTCCTCTAGCAGTCTAGCGTACACACCCAACTTCAAATAATCGACGGATAGTAAAAAGTTGAGGGATGTGGCATTTAAGAGAACAAACAATGATTTTCAAGTCTTGGTAGTAGGGGTGGACCTGGTTCCAGTCCGATTCCGGTTCCGGACCGACCAGTTCCAATGTCAAAGAAAGGAAGACCGGGTCCAAATCGGATAAATCCAGCTCCGATACCCTGGATGGTCCGGTTCTATTTATTCTTTCATCTGCAAGACAAAAAATTGGCCGGTTGGGACCGAAATCGGGACCGCCCTTTACCTGTTTCGGTCCGGTCCGCATAGTACCGGATCCGATTCCAGTCTGACACAATACCAAATCCGGTTCCGGTTTGGCACAGTACCGGACCGGTTCCACCCCTAGTTGGTAGTAACTCAACTGCGATAATTAATAAATTAACTTAATTGTGATGAGAAATATACGAAAAGATCTCATATTGACTTCATATTGAACATAACATTTACGCAGTAGATCATATACTTGTTCGAAAGATATAATGAAGTATTCATTGAAACAACCCATATAAAGCGAGACAGCAAAACTTGCAACCACACTAACTTATTCCCCCGCAAGACAAATAAATGAAGAGAAAAGAATCAAATTTAGGAAAAGAAGATAAGCAAAATTCCAAGGATAGCAGCAGCAGCAACTCAAGTCTTTCTTGGTATGCCAAGCCGGCCACGGAAGTCTTCTTCCATGAGGGGAATGCCATCACGCAACTTCACCTTTGGTTCCCAACCAAGCAACTCCTTTGCCTTTGTGATGTCTGGTTTCCTCTGTCGGGGATCATCCGGTGTGTTCTCCACCTTTATTATCTTCACCTCCTCATTTATCATCTGCTCCACCCAGTCCCCGCCCCACACAAAAAAATTAGCATACATTCAAGTAATATATGAACCCTATCCAAAAGTGACTAATCCTGCTTATCATAAAAATAAGTGACTTTTGACTTATTGAACTTCGTAAATGGATTTTACCAAACGCTTTCCCTTTACCAAAAGGGCTCTAACAAAATGATCAAAAGTACAGATCTTTACCTCTTTCACAGTATCAGCAAGTTCAAGCATTGTGAATTCACCTAATTGAGTGAACAAGAACTCGCATAAGCGATGACGGTAAAGATTGATAAAGCGGAAGTAATCATCTAATTAGCCAAGTAATAAGAATGTCTGACCTGGATTCCCAATGTTAATAGGTCCAGTATGTTCTCCCTCCATAAGACGAATGAGCCCGTCAACCTTCAACCAAGATGATGAGTTAAAAACAAGTTTTTTTTACTTCTCTATTGACTTGTTTAAGTGATTGTTTGGTAGCTTTATATATCAGCTATTTTTCTACCAAACACTAACTCAATCAATTGCATTGACAATAATGAAAAGATAATGCAACATTACTTTTCGACTGAAATGAAAGGAATTGACAAAACATGAATGCTTTTTTATAGATATTATATTCTTTAATTTATTTAATATAGTTTTAGATGATTACCATGTCAGAAACATAGCAAAAGCTGCGAGTTTGTGTTCCGGGCAACTGGACAGTCAAAGGCTCGTCTCTAGGATGAGTTAATAGAAGTAAAATACAAATGTTAGAGAAAGTGTGAACAAAACATAAACAAGGTTCCGATAGCAAGAGCCATAATAAAATTGGTTCCAGGAATATTACCTAATTGCCTGAGCAAGGAAATTACTAACAACACGTCCATCATCAATATTCATCCGTGGCCCATAAGTGTTGAAGATTCTAGCAATGCGGATTTCTTCCAAGGTATGCCACAAAAAGAAAAAAGTCAAGAAAGCATAAGGTTATGTGGAATGTGGTAAGGAAAGGAAGAATAAATATGACAAGGAAAGTGGGTTTTTTTCTCATTATGGTTTTGCCTTAGAAAATTTATCATAGGAAACTCAAATTTGATACCCTTTATTTTATTCATATACTTATATTTCTTAGTCCTTGTATAATAGAAATATATAAAGTGAATTAGAGTATACATCTGAAATTAATTAATTGAGTATGGACCAACTCTTAAATTTTTTCGCTAATTTATTTTACTAATTGATTAATAAATCTTACCAACTCTTGTGAATTCAAGTGAAATTATTTTAAAAACATATTAATCTAAACACAGTACCTATTCCATGTTGCCTGTGATAATCAAACATCAAAGTCTCAGCAACTCTTTTCCCCTCATCATAGCAGCTCCTTACTCCTGAAAAGCAAATACATGACATTTAGCACATTAACATTCTCAAGATTGAACAAAACAGCCTGGGGAAAAAAGCTGGTTGGTGGTTACCAATTGGGTTAACATTGCCCCAATAGCTCTCATCCTGAGGATGCACAAGAGGATCCCCATAAACCTCAGAAGTTGAAGTGAGCAGAATCCTATAACATACTCTCAAGCGTGAGGAAGCAAATTTCCATTTCATATAAAAATATATAATATTATGTAGAGAAATAAAAAATTCTTGACCTTGCACCAACTCTCTTTGCAAGTCCCAACATGTTAAGTGTACCAATTACATTTGTCTTAATTGTCTGCAAGCGATAATTCGATTAAATATAGAATAATTGTCACCCAATATATCACATAATGCACTTTCTTTATAATAACCTAAACCATAAGTTTCCATTTGGTTTCCATGACTGGCTTATTCTGCTTATTGGCAAAAGTAGTCACTTGTCACTTTCAAGGCTGAAGCAGATGTTGCCAAATGCTTTTACTTTAAGAGAATTCAGCAGATTCATCAACAACAACAACAACATCCAAGCCTTGATCCCAAAAGAATTTGGGGTCGGCTAACATGAATCGATCTATGATATCGATGCCAAAAAGAGAAGGCGGACAAGAAAAGGAAAAAAAATTAAGATAAAATGAATAAAATAAAGATACATAAATATAAGATAACAATAACACAAGAATATAACCAAGATAAAAGAAAAATAAATAAAAGAGCATAAAAAAGCTAGAAGATAAAAATAACATAAGAATATAAAAAGATAAGGAAGATAAACGATAAAAGAAACAAGAGAGGAAACGTAGACAAGACATCAATCGTCCACATGGATGTGCGTCCTCCACTTTGCTCTCTCCAAAGTCATACTCTCATCCAACCCAAGAAGACGCATATCAGTTCTGATTACTCTAATCCAAGTCTTTTTGGGTCTTCCCCTCCCTCTCTTCTCTGACTCTTCTCCCCACCCCTCAAGTCGTCTAACAGGTGCATCACTCGGTCTTCTATGCACATGCCCAAACCACCGCAAACGAGACTCCTGCATCTTATCTTCTATAGGTGCTACTCCCACCTTTTGTCTGATGACCTCATTCCTCAGGCGGTCTTTTCTGGTATGTCCACACATCCAACGCAGCATATGCATCTCTGTCACACTCATCTTTTGAATGTGGCATTGCTTCACCGCCCAATACTCTACGCCATACATTAATGCCGGCCTAATTGCTGTACGATAAAATTTACCTTTCAGTTTAGTCGGCATACCTCGATCGCATAGAAATCCTGAAGCACTTTTCTATTTCATCCACCCAGGTCTGATTCTATGACATACATCTCCATCTAATTCACCATCCTTCTGAATTATGGATCCCAGGTAACGGAACATATCACACACCGGTATCTCCTTACCATCAAGAGTAATCCCACTGTTGCTACCGCTCCTACCTCCACCGAACTTGCACTCCATATACTCAGTCTTGCTTTGGCTCAGTTTGAAACCCTTGCTCTCCAATGTTTGTCGCCATACTTCCAACTTTTCTTTAACACCGGATTGTGTCTCATCAATCAATACAATATCGTCGGCAAACATCATGCACCACGGTATATCTTCTTGAATTGACTTCGTAAGTTCATCCATGACTAAAGCAAATAAGAAAGGACTCAGAGCAGATCCTTGGTGCACTCCAATGGTAATAGGGAACTCTGTGGTCCTCCCTACAGTAGTGCGGACACTTGTAGTACAAGCATCATACATATCCATGATGATGCTGATATACTTACGTGATATGCCTTTTCTAGTTAAGGCCCACCAAAGAACTTCTCGAGGTACCCTATCATATGTCTTTTCTAAGTCAATGAACACCAAATGCAGATCCTTTTTAGTGTCTCTATACTTCTCCACAACTTGTCTAAGAAGGTGAATGGCCTCAGTTGTTGAGCGTCCAGGCATAAAACCAAATTGATTCTCCGAAATTTTCACACTTTTACGTAGTCTTTGCTCAACTACTCGCTCCCAAAGTTTCATGGTGTGACTCATAAGCTTAATCCCTCGATAGTTAGCACATTCTTGCACATCACCCTTATTTTTAAATAAGGGAATGAGAGTACTCTTCCGCCAACTCACTGGCATTTTGTTGTTTCTACAAATCATGTTGAAGAAACGTGTTAGCCACTCGATGCTTTTCTCTCCCAAACTTCTCCAAGCCTCGATCGGTATGCCATCTGGGCCCACTGCTTTCTACCGCCCCATTTTTCTCATAGCCTCTTTAACTTCTGTTGTTTGAATCCTTCTCACGAAGTCCCTATTTACCATACACTCTGGTATAGTAAGATCATCAATACCTTGGACTTTATTCCTGTTGAACAAGGTATCAAAGTATGACCTCCACCTCTCTTTTATTTCTTCGTCGTCCATTAGTACCCTTTGATCGACATCCTTCACACACTTAACTTTTCCGATATCTTGAGTCCTACGGTCACGAAGGCGAGGGAGTCTGTAGATATCTTTTTCTCCTTCCTTAGAATCCAACTTTACATACAATTCCTTATTCACTTTTCCTTTGGCTTCCTTCACAGCTTTCTTTGCTCTTCTTCTAGCCTCTTTGTACTCCTCTATGTTCTCGTCGCTCCAACTTTTGCCCAATTTCTTATAGCATTCTCTTTTTGGCCCTTATTGCTTGTTTCACCTCATCATTCCACCAAGATGTGTCCTTTTTTGGTGGCAGACATCCTTTAGATTCTCCGAGTATCTCCTTCGCCACTTTGTTAATGGTGGGCTCCATTGGTAACCACACATCATCCACGTGTGCATCATTATCAATAGACCAAACATCTTCCTCCAATATTTTGTGTGCAAAACTTTGTTGGAGATTCCCTTCGAGCCTCCACCATTTTATCTTTGGCTCCCCTTGTAACTTAACTCGTCCACTTTTTTTACCTCGAAAATCAAGCACAAGCATCATATGCTGAGTGACAGCACTCTCACCTGGGATAACCTTACAATCAGTGTAGCTAGTTCTCCAAGTCGTCCGTACTAAAAAGTAGTTAATTTGGGTACTATTAGCTCCACTTCTATAGGTGACAAGGTGAGAGTCTCTTTTCTTGAACCAAGTGTTCATCACAGCCAACTCATATGTCGAGGCAAAATCCAGAATGTTCTTCCCCGCTTCATTTATAGTGCCAAAACCATGTCCGCCATGGACACTCTCAAAACCATCACGACTTGGGCCCACATGCCCGTTGAGGTCGCCTCCTATGACCAGTTTCTCTCCCCTTGGCACTCGTTGCACCACTTCCTCAAGATCCTCCCAAAATTGTTGAGTGATAGATGCATCCAATCCCACTTGTGATGCATAGGCACTAACCACGGACACAATCTCATTCCCTATTATCAACTTAATGCTCATAATGCGATCGTTCTTCCTAAACACTTCAACCACACCGTCAACAATTCAGCAGATTCAGCCATTCCAAAAAATTAACCCTCATTAAAGGGATCTCATATTAATATTTCATTCAATCTCTAATCATAGAAACAAAAAAAACATAAAGAGTGTCACCAAACGCTAACTTGATTTCTAACCTTCACAGGATTGTATTTGTAGAAAATTGGGGAAGCGGGACATGCAAGATGATAAATCCGATCAACTTCAACCATCAATGGCTCAGTGACATCTGATATTAGGGAATATGAGTATAAGAAAAAAATATACACACGCAACAATAATAAAGAAAAATCAGCACCAGTGAAAAAAAAGGTTTAGAAAAATCAGTGACAAACCATGACGTATGAGCTCAAATCTTGGATGCCCGATCCATTGCTTGAGGTTATCTTTCGATCCTGTAAAATAGTTGTCTGCAACAATCACCTAAACAAAGAAGCAACACATTAGAACATCCACCCCAAAACCATGTATTAGACTTTGTCTGTTAGCTGGTATTAGCTTAATACGCACTTACTCAACCACTGAGTAAAGTAGATATTTTCTTATGCTAAAGAAAACACAATAAAATCCCGCCAATCCATATCAATGTATTATACAAATTCTATTCCAGATAAGCAATACTACTCAAACTTTCCAAATATTTTGGATACTTGTATATTTTTCCTATAATCTATAATATTAATAATAATGTGAATCAATCTTGACAATAAGTTATCTACATGATAAAATCACAAGTACTAAGGGAAATCACTTTTGTAAAGAATTTTTTTTAATTCTAATTTTATTATAAAGTGAGTTCCATATATCTCACATTAAGTCCCTAGAGATTCGTACTGAATTAGTTGGTTATATTTCTGGCTGCAGTTGTTGTTAGAAAAAACTTTTCTTGTACAAACAGAGCACATTCAGCCCTTTCAGCCGAAAACCTCTGACCAAATGGGCCCTTAATCTACATCTATGACTTCAACAAAATAGACAGAAAAGAAAAGCCACTAAAGAGAGTTTACCTCATTCTTCTCATTCTGCATTAGCCTGTCAACTAGGTGAGAGCCAATGAAACCGGCACCACCGGTAACCAAAATCCTCATGTTTGCCTATCATTTGAAGTTTAGGCCAATAACAACCGTGCTATGAGAAATTAAGGCATTTATATCAAGAATATACGGCATAGCTAGTAAGTAAATACTTCTTTACCTGGAAAAATTTAGCCTTTCTCAATGGTGATGGTTCTGGAGGTTGCTTTACTGCAGTTGAGGCCATTTCTTTAAAAACTCTTACCTAACCAACACAACCACAACACCATGAATTCGGCATGAAATTTTCACTGAGTGAAAACATAGTAAAAAAATGCAAAGTACTGATATTAACCCCTTAGAGAAAAGGGGAAACTTTTTATGACAATACAAATGTCTACAGCTTGAAAAATAAATAATAAATAAATAAATACTTCAAAATTAGGCTGGAATAATACATGAAAGTGAGTTCAAATTAAACTACAGAATAAATAAACCTGAATTAACTATATGAATATATTTCTATGAACTCTGTAGGAAAGGGGCTTAGAGAGAAGTAATTGCAGCAGAGTTGAAGCCTAGCGAAGGTATATATATGTGTGATGAGACAAAACACAATCAACTCAAGGGAAGAATGAAAAACGAGATGGCTGACGAACCAACCGATTATGGGCAACTAACGACAGAAATTCAAAAAAGAAGAAATCTTTGAAAGCACGTAAAGGAGTAAAAAGGTGGTGGACACTGGACAGAGATTGAATGTGAAGTGCGATCAAAGCTTCAACCGACCAACGTCAAGCAACTTGCAGATCTGATTCTAATTCACCCAACCAATGTTGAAGGTTTTTATAATATATCACATACTAAAGGATTAATTAAAAATCAAGCAGTAATTACCAAACGAAACCACCAGCAATTCACCAACTGATGAACGAAGAACTCTACCGTTTCGTCTATATAGCGCTTCTAAAACCCTGACTTTTCTGTGTGTATGTGTATATATGCGGATTGAGCTGTAGAATTTGCATAGGAAAGACAGTGTGGTGCGGCTGTGCCTGTGCTTGGAATGCAACAGTAGATTTCGAGTGAAAATAAGAAATCTTATTAATAACACACTTTACATCACAATTTAGTTTCACCATTAACTTAGTACTTCCATTTCTAAATTCACAATTTAGAAATCTTATTATAAGAAATCTTAGAAATCTTATTAAAGTTCTCACTTTTCTTTTTGGGATGTCCCTTATTTAAATTCACACTTCCATTTTAGGAAACAAAACAGTGCCAAACAGTGCCAAACAGTGCCAAACAGTGTCCAAACAGTGCCAAACAGCGCACTCCACAGTAAAGTCAAATTCATTTTCTTAATATGTGTGAAGTCAAACTGGGAACTTAAATAAGAACCGGAGGAAGTAATATAGTAGAACTGTACAAAACCGGGCCGGGCCCGCAATAATATATGGGCGGGCTTGGGTTAGGGTGTAGCCCCGTTCGGGCCGATAAGCCCGGCCCGCTACATTTATTATATATAAATATATATTTATATATATACTAATTTATTTATTTACATATACACATGTATATTTATATTTACTAATTTTTCTTTATACATATTTATAGTTTATTATGTTTACATTTAAATTTTAAGTTCTTAACAACTAGCCCAACCAATATACGATAGTAGTATCTATTTTTGTACTTAAAGATAATACTTTGTGCTTAAATTTTAGGAAAAATTCACATAAATAATCTCAACTATCAACGGTTTTCTCATATTAATCTCAATTGTTAGTAAATCCAATAAAATCCTAATTATTGTGGGTATCTTCTCATAATAAACCGATAACCTGAATAAATCAGTTCAGCATGTCACCTGGACACGTGTTTTATATTTATTGGTTAATATTTTATTCTATTTTTTCCTTTTCTTTTCTCTCTTTCATCTTTGTTCGCACTGAGCTTTGGACGGGCACACTAGCGTTTCAGGTGAAACGCCGACCATTCCTTGTTCAACCGTCGCCATTAAGGCCGGCCACCATATGTAGATCTTTGATGACCGGCCGTTTGTTGAAGTGCCTCTTCGAGGACGGCTGTCCGCTTGTCCGTATGCCCATCTTCATCGTCGATGCTCCGTCAATCTCTGTTGTTCTTCGACGCCGTCCCCTGTCCATCCCAAATGTTCTCTGTAGCATCCACCCGTTCTTCCCAGCTGGTATGATCTCCAACGTTTCATTCGTCTATCACCCAATAAAATAATTTCATAAATTAAACCTTCAAAATCTGAAACCGAAAGCATGAACTTCAAATTTGAGGCGCAGAATCAGAACGAAAGGAATGAAATTTCCATAGGAGGTGGAGGGAGAAAAAGAGAGAGAGACGGAGGAAGCATGGGGTGTAAAGAAAGTCCAACGGGGATGAAGCACTGAGAGAGACGATGAGGAAGCACGGTTGTTCAGCTTTTTTAAATTTTCTTTTTACTTTTTTGGTGACAACTCCGATACCTTTCTAAAAATGTGGTACCGTACCTATCATTCATTTGATTGAACCACATCTCTTTATCATTTTTAATTTAGATTTAAATAATTCAACTGCTACATTCTCATTGGTCCATGTGGACAAAGGTATGATACCTTATGGGTACCATAGAATTTACTTACTTTTTTTTACCTGTTTAACAGGTTAAAGGTAACCTGGATCAATATAGGAAGGCCTCTAGTAAATTTGAGATTATTTCAGAATTACGTATATTTAGGATTAATATTAGAAGACCCCCAATAGTTGGGATTATTTATATGAATTTTTCCTAAATTTTAAATTTTAGATATAGTTTCTCATTATTATTTTTGTGTAAGTATTTTTTTGTATGTGATGAAAGACCTATAAACATTATAAGTGTATTAACAATTTCTTAAATGTTGTAATATTTTTTTAAAGTATTAAAAAAATCATTAAATTTTAAAAAAATTAAAGTTTTCCCAGGCCGGGCGGCCCGGTGGACTACCTGGTCCGCTCTTACGGGCGGGTATGGACATGAAGTTAGGCCCATTTTTGCGGGCCGGGCCGAACCCGCCCACACGTGATGGGCAAAAAATTTATAAAAAGTCCGGCTCGAGCCCGACCCAAACCAGTTTTTGTACAGGTCTATAATATAGGTAAAATGATGTTTTTTATAAATATATGTTGAGCATGTTTTATGATACTCTTAATAAGCCTTCACCCCATATTTATCTTAGTAACACAGTATTTATATATAGACAAATATAGAGTCAAATGCATTTCATAATGAAAGTCCTCTAAACATCATACTCTTCCTAGTCACACAATCCCTACCCTAGGTCCCTACCCATCTTACCTACCTCACCCTGACCCCACCCCTTTATCCCACTATCTACCCCTACCACCCCTATCCCATACCTACTCCACCCTTACCCCATACGGCCACACCCACCACCCCCTTACGTCCATCCCACTCAGACATTGACTGTCAAACTAAGTTTAAGCCTTCACCGCTGCTCCCATCCTGACCCCTACACACGCCCCTGTCCCTCCTTTACCCCTACTCTACCCCTACAGCACCAACCCCAGTGAACAGTGTGTGGCATGGCGATAAGGGTAGGGATTAGAGTGATAGGTGTTGGGTGTAATTCGGAAAAATGAAGAAATATTAATTAAATAAAATTAATTAATAAATAAAATAGGCAAAGAAAAGCGGAAAATAAGATGGAACAGAAATTAGCCAAAGCTCATGCTACGCACGATGTCCTTAAAACGTATTCGTTGCCTCCCTAGGTGCTAGGAGCGTTGCAACGATCGTTTCCCAGGATGCGATGACTACGAACAATTGTTTGAGCACTCAACAAATTGTTCTAGCGAACGGAAACGAAGCAAGAACATTAAAGATTTTTTCGGAATACTGGAGGTGTGATTTTGCTCAAAACGTTTGTGGTAACTGTGATGTGAGATGTGTTGTTGCAAAACACCTGCCAGGTATATAGGAACGGATTTGTGGTGTGTTAACGGAGCATTAATGGACCTGAACGTTGAACATAAATGACCAGCACATTGGGTATCAATATGTCGAATACTGTCAATTTAAAGACTCATTAAAGTATAAGAACATTGAGCAATAAATTTCGTAACGGCTGAGAACCGTTCGGGTGCGCGACCAGAACTGCTCTGTGCTCTTCTGGTGCGAAGCCACCAGAATTTCTCTGAGGTCTTCTGGTTCGGAAAAGGGCCAAAGTGGTCTGGGCAAAATAATTCAGCAAAAAATACCATCGGGAACCGCCACAAACGGCGGAGGCCGGACGGGCCTCCTGTCTGGACCGCCCGGACATGAATATTCTTGTACACACACACACACACACACACACACATATATATATATATATATATATATATATATATATATATATATATATATAATAAAAGGATAAAAGGATAAAGAACATAAGAAAGATAAAGAAGAAGAAAGCAAAAGAAAAAAAGAGAGAGAAAATATATCAATCATCCACACGAATATTCACTCTTTACTTTGTTTTCTCCAAAGACACGCTCTCATTAGTTTCACAAAGAAGCATAGCACTCCTGATTGAACGTTTTAAATGAAAATGAAAATATCTTGATTTGAAGATATAAAATCATTCCTTATAAATATTATCAAACTTGGTTAGTTTATCAAAGTTCTAAATTGACAAAAGTTGTACTTTCTAATGTATGAAATCACAATAACTCCTTTTACCTACAAGAATAAATTTGTTCCCTTGGTTTCTTCATACTTGAATCTCAATAACTATGTTATTCAAAAGTTGTAAGAAAAACAATTTGTGTGGGAAATAAATTTTTCTCTTAATAGTAGTAATGTGATATGTACTTTTATCTTGTATTTGTAAATATTTATATTGATTGACCCCTAGTTTGTTATATTCGTATGTTGAGTACACAAGGGTGCACCTATGGCCGAACTTGAGCATTGATCGACCCTTAGTTTGTTAAAAATGTTTCATTTGTACATAGTAAAGATATTTTGAATTAGTTACACATCTAATTTACTGAAATGTACTTGTATAAAAATGGAGTTTTCTAGCCTTGAAGATGATAAAGCCCCACCCCCACTCCTCTTGATGGGTTTTCGGCAGGTGCCTTCAAGAGGAATTCGGAAGTTGTTGGAGGAGATGTTACAAGTGCAGTCAGGAGTTCTTGTTTGGGAACTGGGAAGCTTCTCAAACAAATAAAACATACTACAGTGGCCGTGATCCCTAAAACCATCGTGAATCCTAAGGTGAGTAATTTTAGACCCATATCATGTAAAAATGTTTTATATAAGGTTGTCGGCAATTGGGAGGTTGAATGTCTTGCTACCTAGTTCGATCGACCCGGCTCAAGTGGCTTTTGGGAAAGGGAGAGAGTTGTTTGATGATATTTGTTTGACCCAAGAACTAATGAGATCTAGAAAGTGGATATCTCTGAGGTATCTTATCAAAGCTTGCCTTAGGAAGGCATATTACACAGTGGATTGGGGGTTCCTTAAATCTATTTTGCTAAACTATGGGTTCTCAGATGTGGTACGAATGCATCCTTTCCTGCACCTATGGATGGAGTTTTACATAGTTTTTTCAAAGGTGCATGTCTCTCGCTTTGTTTATTCTTTGTATGAAATACATGTCCAGCTAGGATCACACACTTGGTTTTTGCAGATGATCTTATGTTGTATGCTAGAGGAATATCAACTATGCAAACAAGCTTATGAGTTATTTGAAAGAGTTTAGGGAGTTTTTTGGTCTTGCAATTGACTTTTATAAATCGGATGTGTTTGGACAAGAATAGGAGGATATTGTTGTTATTAATGGGTTTCAAGAGTATTGTTTCCTAGTAAGATACCTTGATTTCCCTTGGAACCACTTAGAGTGTCCGTTGCGTAGTTTTGTCCACTCATTGAGAAGATTGATAGCTTTGCTGGCAAGTGGAGACTAAATCTGTATCCTACGCAGGGAGAGTTGAGCTCATCATGGCAATTGTCCAAGGAGCACAATCCTTTCCGATGCCTACCACATTCATTAATAGGTATTGTAACTACTTGCAAGAATTTTCTCTCGGATGGGAAAAGGGCCAAAGTGGTGTGGGCAAATATTTGTAAACCGAAGGAAGAAAGGATTACAGCTAAAAGATGCAAAAATATGGAAATCTGCATTGCTCGCTAAAACATTTTGAAATATAGACACTAAAAATTATACATTATGGATTAAGTGGCTTCATGCCAATTTGTAAAGGATGTGACCATATGGGACTGGTGTTCAAACAACCGAGCATCACATCTACTAAAAACTTGGCTGGAATTCAAAAGACAATGCTAGATGGGATTGGATATCAAGAAAACTTGATAGCGAAATTAGGATCCATATAAAAATGTTAATGGAAGATTGTGCACATCACTTGTTTATGATTGCTTAGAATCCAAAGGGTGAAAAAACCATGGAAGAAATTCATTGGACACTCATAGGTTTTCCTTTATACTATAGTTGTTCACTATGGTTGTCAATGATGGACCTTAGTAAAGGCCCAGGGGACCATTCCCCCCCCCCCCCCCCCCCCCCTCTAAGTAAAACAAATTTACTAGGACCTATATATTTTCTATATTGTTCCCTCTAAAACGCAATTATTTTTAAATTGACCCCCGAGTTTTTGAACTTTATAAACAACATTCAAGCCTTAGTCCCAAAAGATTTGGAGTCGGCTAACATGAATTGAGACACGATATTGGAGCCAAAACAAGAAAGATAAACAGATAAGGTAACAATAAAAAGGGTATGATAAAGATAAATATAATATAAAACTATAAATGATAAGATACAAAGAAAAAAGGAATATATATATATATATATATATATATATATATATATATATATATATATATTAATTCCCGGAGGGTAAACCACTAAAAGTGGGGTAAATGCCAGGGAACACTTACCAAATTTTATTAGATATAAATAAAGCACTGGAGGATAAAGAAAATAAGTAAATGGAAAGCAAGGCAAACTAGGCTAAAGATTATGACTTTAAGCGCGTCTGCGACCTAGTCTGCATAGAAGAAACTTGCGAAACAACTTTCTTCTTATTACGCCGGAGTAAAATCGTCTTCAGCGGCCTCCAAATTAGCAATCTCAGCAACCAAAGCCGTGGAGTTTTTAGACTTGTGAAGAGCTTCTGTTCGCGCGCGATGTCTGAACATAAGTTGAGATTGAGTCAAATAATTTGGGTCGCCCAAACGATCAAACAACTTAAGATCTGAGTCATCCACAAATTTGCGAATCTCGTCCTGACTTGGAAATTGTACTTGAAGGGGAGGAGAGTTAAAAATATTCATTCCATTACAAATTGCATGATCAGAGTCCAGCTTCTCACAAAAAGAATCTTGCACATTATCTTGCCCATAAGAGAAGACACATATTCCCTTTAAAGATTCCTGCGATAAACAAATCTCTCTAACGGGGCCATCAAAATCACATATAATGCCAGAATTGTGCAAATCCAATTTAAAAAGCAAAGATGATATGGATTCGGAGTCCGGGGAGGAGGACCCTAAGTCCGAGCAAAGCGCCTCAAAATCTTCAAATTGCCCTTTCTCCTTCCTTTTGAGAGAAACATCCAACAAAGCTTCACATCTTAACAAGGAAGAGAAAAAGTGTTTGAAGCCAAAACCATTGCACCGTTCAGGAATAATGAGAGTTGTTGTAGTTTAGTCCCGAATGACCCGAAGGCCCAACACTAACCTTGGATCTTGGGTTTATAGTAATGTGTATAAAAGGAAATATAAAATCTGATTTAACTATCTAAATAACTCAGCTTTTATTAATATAGTAATAACAATTACACAGGAATGCCCGAGCGGTGATTATGATTCAAAGGCTAATACGAGAGCTGTGATACAATATAAGTTTGTGAGTTAATGAAATCCAACCCTTTACAATGATTTAACAACTGCTATTTATACTAAATGGAGACATGGAGCGCCCTTATATGATTGGTTGCTTTCCATGCCATTTGAGACCCCCATGATCCAGCATTAACTGCAGTTGGTCACATTTCGTTCGGGTGGTGCCGAACGGGTCTTGTCTTCAAGCAGACCATTTGGGCCCAACGATCTCTTCCTGACTATCCTTTGTATTTTGGACCTTAAGAATGTGCCAAACTCCCGTTCGGGATCTATGACCTTTGGGCTTTCCTTGGTTCCTGGACTTCTAGGGATCTTTTGGGTCGCCATATTGGGCCCGACCTCAATATCCTATCACAAGTCCCCCACTCCCTTATGTTCCAAGCGTGCTTGGGACATAAGGAAGTACAACAATCTTTCCTCCGTTCGGGGTAACTGATAAGTCTGATTTGTTCATATATTTTCACTCACTTTTTATAGCGTTCCTTGTCAAACTCGGGGCAAAATTTTACATTTTTCTGCGTTTTTGTTGCATTTTTGTTAATGTTTGAAATTAGTGTTGAAATTTACATTTTGAGAGATTTGTGTTTAATTCTAGTGTTTGGATTGTTTTTTGTGTTTTTTCCACTAATTTGTACTTTTTTTATTTTGTGATTTGTTATATTTGAATTTGATTTCTTTTAGTGCAATAAATAAATGAATTAATGAAAAACAAACAAAAAAAATTATAAAACCCCCAAAAAATGCAGCAAGGCTGCGTTACAAAAAACCCAAGCAAATAAAAGAAAAACAAACAAAATAAAAGAAAAGGAAAAGCAACAACAAAAAAACCAAAAAAAAAGAAAAGAGATAAGAGGGAGTCGGCAAAAAAAAACATGAGAAGGGTGGGGAGTCCCATCTTTGGACCAAGAGAGAAGAGATGACAATGGGCAGCTGGTTATCTAATTAATAGCCAAAGGAAAAAATAGGAAGGCACTTCCTACTTGGCTACTTGTCGGCAGTAGGAAAAAAAAGGATATCAGCCGCAGAAACAATACACACCCCAGCTCTAGTTTGCAGGAGGCAAAAGGATGGAGCTTGAAAGAATTCATCCGCCATCACTCAGCCGCAAGTAGCTTCGGGCAGAAAAAAATCCGAGCTGCTAGGAAGAAGAACCGAGCTCAAAATACTCTGGTTAATCTTTTGTTATCTTTCAATTTTAATCCTAATTTCATGCTTAGATTCAAACTTCAATAAGCTTTCAGTTTTAATGACTGTATTATTTCATACTCTGAATTTCTGTTTACTTGGATAATTGAGTTGTTAATGATGTTTATTTACTGTTTAATTTCATCTACAAATTACTCTAGCTGTTTTATTAATAGTGTTTGTTTCATGATAATTATGTTAGGCTAAATTTCCATGGGGTTTAGATTTGGATAGAATTTAGGTTAATGGGTGTTCTTGAATATTGAATTGAATTTGAGAAAAGTCTCCAATTTTTAGGACTAGTTGTTTGAGATGAAATTGAAAGAGTAATTTGTGAAATTGATCACTTCACTTGTTAATTTTTAGAAGATTAATTATTTCTTGTCTATGAGTTTAGAATTTAATTTAGCTCATATCTCACACACCTTAAACTAAGCCTAGAAATAGGACAGGTTAGGGGAATTAAAATCAAGTTCTTGTCTATGAGAATTAATATATCACTATTCTTAAATTGGAGAAAATTTCCCATATTTGTTCATAATTCAAATACACCCAAGATCCTCAATCCCAAATCTAGACCCCACTTTTAATTAGTTAATTTTTCGTTACTAGTCACATTGAATTTACCTTTTAAGTATTTTATTTCTGAAACTTTACTCATTCACATGTTTCCTAGTTTAATATTTTTTATTAGTTAATATTTTCTCTCAAGTTATTTTGCATGTTCACTAGTTTTAGTTTACTCATTAATGTCATTTAATTAAATTCTCCGCTACTACTTTTGTTGTTTAATTTTATTTACTTAATCATTATCACAATTAATCGTTTGAGAAAGCTTGCAACGATTCGTACTAACCGGTGACCGATATTGAAACCAACACTTCCCTCTGCCACTCCTCAGAGACACAATACTCGGGGGAAAACCGAAAGGTTAGACTCCGTTTTACTACAACGCTGCGTAAGCGGTTATCAAATGGCGCCGTTGCCGGGGAGTCGCACAGTTGTAAGTTGGTTTTTATTATTGGCATAGGTGAACCCGAGTTAGTGAGACTTTCTCCTTTATTTTCTGTTTTTGTTTGTTTGTGTTGTTTTCTCAAGTTTGCTGGATCAGTTTGTAAAATCTCTCTCTTTCAAGCATCGCAAGTTGCTATCATTTGCTCTCTAACCTAAAAGAACATTGAGATGGTCTGAACAAAAGTTCATCATGATGAGGGAGAGGCTAACAGTGCTTGAAGCCTTAACCTTGGACTTTTTTGAGGAAGATAGCATCAACATTCCGCCAATCGATGTCACCGATTTTGAGATTAATCCTGATATCATTCAAGTGATATCGATTGATCGATTTGGCGGTTTGAAACATGAAGATCCCATGGTGCACATATTGTGGTTTAATAGAATGTGTCAAATATTCCGGATCACTGGAGTCCCAATTGACACCGTGAAGCTTATCTTATTCCCATTCTCTCTTCGGGATAAGGCTATTCGGTGGTTAAACTCTTTTCCACCTAGTCATTTCACCACCTGGAATGCTCTTCATCAGACGTTCATGCATGAGTATTTTCCTCCATCGGCGGTTGCACACATCAAAACTTTAATTCAAAATTTCAGGCAAGCTCCGATGGAAACAATAAGTGAGGCTTGGGATCGATACAAAGGCCTACAGAGAAAGTGTCCTGCACAGTTGATGGATGCTTATGACTTGATGTTCTATTTCTACTATGGACTTCAAGTTGTAAGTAAAAAAGAATTGGACCATCATTCAAAAATGGGTTCTTTTCTCGACATGACACCGGAAGAGAGTGAAACACTCATGGAGAATGTGGTATCAAATGCTAAGAATTGGTACTATGAGACAGAATCTTCTTCCGAGACGACACTTCAAGACATCGATCAAATTTCTGCCCTCACAACAATAATTGACAACCTCGCAAGTCAAGTGAAGAATCTCAAATCACAATCATGTCAGGTCAATAAGTTGAGTCATTTAGGGGTAGATTGGGAAAATTCGGTGAATGCTAGCCCAGAAGCACCCACATTCGATAAAGAATCCACAGACGAGAGATGGATGTCCACTGAAAAACAAGGCTCATCGTAAAAACAAAATGAGACATTTACTGAAGATTATGAAAGTGAAAGTGGAGAGATCTTTGAGCCAATTTCAGAGAATGTGGAAGTGGGAGATATTTTGTGTGAAAGTAGAGTTGAAAAGGGTGATATTTTGACATCATGTCTTGTTGAATTTGATGAGGCATCTCACTGTGAGGAGGAATTTGCAATAATCACGGTTGCATCATGTGAAGAATTTAAAAAGAAAACTCCCGAGAAAATCAATGAAATTGAGGAGCTCCTTGATCTATTATTGGAGACTATGGA